CACTTTTTGATAAAGTTGCATGGGTATCCATTTTGTTGGAAGATGTTGTATAGGTGGTCTTTTTCCTTTTTCTGCTGTTCTGGGTTGCTGCAGTGCATTTCTGCTCACTTGAACAATGTTCTTACGCAGCTCCTCTTGTGGGAGATTGGGTTGTTGCTTTGGTAATGGAGTACTTGATTGGTGTGGGTTGTCTTCCGATAGACTTGGGTTTCTAATTTGCTGTTGTTTCCTTTGCTGATGAGGATATCCAGGGAGAGTAGTGTGTTGTTGTTTTCTTCCTCTCTGCTGAATTCTATTCCTTCGAAGATGTTGTTGATGGTTTCATGTGTCTTCTCCAGACTGAAAGTAGCTGGTGAGGCAGAGGTTGATGAGACTGAAAGTAGCTGGTGAGGCAGAGGTTGATGAGACTGAAAGTAGCTGGTGAGGCAGAGGTTGATGAGACTGAAAGTAGCTGGTGAGGCAGAGGTTGATGAGTTTCTTTGTCCTCTAATAACTTTTTGGCTTTTTCCAGGTATTGTGATTTATCCATAATAACTGTGGCTCGGCCTTTGTCTGCTGGGAGGATGATGATGGTTTGGTCCTTCCTTAGGCTGTTGAGGGCTGCTCTGTCCTCTGCTTTGAGTTGGTGATGATACTGTGTTCTTCTGGTCTGCGGTATGATTGTCTGCCTTATGTTTTCTTAGGTCTCTATGTTAAGTCCTGTGGTTTTAAATGCTGCTTCTGAGGCTGCACAGAATTCTAGCTGACTGGCATTGTCCATGTTATGGTTGAGGCCTTTCTGGAGGATATTGTGTCCTGCCGTGGATAATGGTCGGCTGGACATGCTGATTACCCATTCTGGTTTGAGTACCTCTTTGTTTCCAGAGTTTAATTTGAGTAGTTTAGTTTGAAGTTTAGTTTTTCTTTTCTCCGCTTGTCTTCAGGATGTGTTCTTGATGGTGGTTGTCAATATATTTGTATGCTCTGGGGTCATGATTTGTTCCAGTTACTCCTTGAGGTTGTCTGTGATATGCTGGTATCTGTTAAGTCTGAGGTGTACATCCACGATCATCAGTCGTAACATTTTACGGCCGCTTAGTTGCGCTATTTTCCATCCAGCTATGCAATTTATTGGAGGTTTGTATCTGATGTTTTAACAAAACCCTCGCCCCCACCAGCACTGGCAGGGCATGCCACAATATATAATCAGAGAGCAAACCTCATTTCATTCTAGCACTGAAGATGTTACCTGGCCAGGTAATGAAACGTTTGCAAGAAAAGAACGAAGCTCAGAGAACCCCAAGGGCTCTACAGTTCAACCCTGAGCTACACCTGTTTACTTCTGTTGGTCCTTCCAGACTCTCAGGAGTCACTGGATTCATTCTGGAGAGCTAAACTTGTCACGGAAGCCGGGCACTCCCTAAGCCTCTCTTTATATACCTTGGGTTGCTTCTCCATCCTTAAGTTATTCTGTCCAGGACAGTTTAGTTCCCCTTCGGGAGTGAAGCAAGAGAGTGCTGCCTCTTATGGCCTCAGCACCTTCTAGCAGCAGGCCCATCCCTTCCTTTTTTTACTGACATAACCAAAAAAGCTGTTTTTCATGCTTTTAGCTTCCCCTGAGAACCTAAATTTCTTTTGCACTTTAGCCTTTCTAACTTTTCACTGTTAAGCATGTGCTCAGCCAATAGTGGAGTCATAAAGATCTGTTTATTATCTGGTGGGATTTCTTCTTTCTGAAGGGCAGGGTGGGGTGGCGTGGCATGGGGTGAGGTGGTGTAAGGGGGGAGAAGACCCCAAACATTGTCTGAATCACTATTGGTCTGACTTCCAGGCAGAGGTGATCATGAATTACCATGTAGGAGAAACGGTGCTTTCTCTGCAGAAGACCACGCTAATCCCCGGAGGCTCTGAGTCTCTTGTTTATACAACGTTATCTGGAGGCATTGGCATCCTGGTTCCATTTACATCACATGAGGTGAGAGATGAATGCTGTGCTGAAAGATTTTGTTCTGCTTATCTTCTTCTGTCTGGTGGTGCCATCTGGACATGATCTTGAGTTATGGAAGATTGGCAATTAAGCCAGAAGGAAGGAGAAATACATTGTTCAGACTTGGGCTCTCCAACTCTCCTGCAGGTGGATCAAAATTGGCTCTACATCATTGTAAACTCTGAGGTTGGCTGTTGTTGGACTCCTTACCCTTTTGCCAGCACCAATATTATTGTAATAAATGGCACATGAGTAGCATCTTAGAAATATTTGCTAATACATGTTCCAGCCACCTTGACTTACAGTTGCACTCATGTAAGTCAAAGTGAAATTTGGAGTCCATCCAAGGTGATAGCATTGTTGGGTGCCTCTGCCCAGCTGGCCCTATGAGGTTGCTCAGGCCTCTTGCAGTCTCTCACACTAAGCATACATCAGAGGGGTGCATGAGCCCAGCCTGTACGTGGTCCCTGTATGGACGATGGAGACCCAGCTGTTGTATCAGCCAGCCCTACATTCTCCTGTAAATGGACCTTGAGCTTGTTTGGAGGTTGTAGAAGGGGCACTAGCTATCATATACCCTTGACCAAAGATTGGTACATTGCTCCTGTCTGTGATGGTTGTCCTCTTCCAGTGAACATGTCCTTTGGGAAGGACACACGTGGAGTGAGGAGGGAGGAAGAGGACACCCCCCTAGCCAGCCAGATCTGTGAATCAACCCTGACGATCAATAGGGGTGATAGCTGTCACAGCCCTATTGCCCCCACATCCAGCATCAACCAGCCAATTATCACCTCAGCTAGCCTTTTGAGTGCTGTTTAACCTGTGAAATCATTCTCCCTTGACTGTCCTCTGATTCTTTCAGGATCATGACTTCTTCCAGCACGTTGAGATGCACCTCCGGTCGGAGCACCCCCCTCTCTGTGGTCGAGATCACCTCAGCTTCCGCTCCTATTACTTCCCTGTTAAGGTAGGTCAGGTCGCTGTGACCTTATCTTAGGCTACGAAGTAGCTGAGCCTTAAAAACCTGCCAGGAACTCCACAATGGGAAGGTTCCTTGTTTTCCTGCAGCTGCCCCTTTGGTCAGAGCTGCTGCTTCAAGGCAGTTTAAAGTAACCCCCCAAAGCAGCATTCTGTGTATTCGGAAGTGGAATTTTTGATTGTTCCTTTCTTGTCCTCTGCTCCTCCTCTGAGCGGATGTGTGTGCTTTGAAAGGGACAGGGAGACTTTTCGCCTGTTGCTGGTGCTCATGAGTGTTGATTAGAGCTGGCATATTGGTCAAAACATTTGTTTGTTTACTTAGTTTGCTTGTATCATGACAATTTATGACAACCTACAACAATTAATAACATACAAGATATTTCCTCAAATATAATGCAATCAAAGATCCAGGGTAAATATCAGCCTTAAAACATCTACAATAATAATAACCATTAAAACATCCACAGTCACAGTTCAGCAGCCATCATAATATCTCACAATCCCATAAATTAATATATTTTATAGAATCCTTAGATAGTTGCAAACAGTCCATCTTTCAGCAAACCACAGCTAAGACAACATTTGGCTACAAAGGCCTTCTGGAATAATTCAGTGTTAACTGCTTTTCAGGAAGCCTTCAAAGTGGCTGAGCTAATGTCCATTGGAGAGCTGTTCCGTAGTGTTAGTGCCATGCTGGAGAAACATAATCTCCTGCTTCAGGCTCCCTTCTCTCACAAAAAAAGTGTGATTACCAAGAGCTTCTCCTGGTTATTTTCTGGTTGGACAAGATACCCTGGTGTCAAGCCATATAGGCCTTCATAGGTCAGAACCAGCATTTTGAATTGTGTTCAGAAGCTTTTTGGAATCCAGCGTAGGGCCAGTGGTCCATGTTCCTGGCAGCTTATACCTGTTGGCCACCAGGCTACCACATTCTGTAGCAACTGTAGTTTCAGGTGGGCTATGTAAATCACACTGCAGTAGTCAATCTTTGTGGTGATGAAGGGGTGCAAGGTGCTCCCATGCTAGTAGGCCACAGCTAGTGCCTCCCTGGCCATAACCTCCATCTGTCCATCCAGCAGTAGTCATGAATCCAGGAGGACACCCCCCCTCCGAAGCCACAGATTTGCTTTTCCCCCTTGAGAGACAACTACAGAGTCCACCAAGTATCTTGAAGAGCAAACGGCAACTCTTGCTTAGGTCCAACTTCAGCCTTTGTTATGCCATCTTGGCACTGGGAAAGACTGCCATGGTATCACCACTTCAGCCCAAGGTAGCAGTGCAAAGCTGGATATCATCAATGCACACGTGATACTGAACCTTGAACTGACAGATGACCTCTCCCAGGGGCTTCATGTGAACATTCGATAACAGGAGAGAGGGCCAACTTACAGCACCCCATATGTGAGGGACTGCTGTTCTGACCTTTCTTCTCTTTAACCACCAACTGAAACTGCCTGCTCAGGAAGGAGGGAAACCAATACAGAGCTTTCAGTCTACAACCCTCACTTGGCAGTCAAGAACATGATCAACAATATTAAACATTCTCACAAGGTCCATTAGGGCTAGAAGTGGGGCACTAGTGTGATCTAAGTTACGAGAAAGGTCAACAACTACCTGATCAGTGCCATTTTCTTCCCATGCCCATGCATGAATCCTGACTGAAAAAGATCTAGGTAATCTATTTCTTCTAGGATGCTCTCTGGTTGTCTTTCCACCACCTTCTCAACAACCTTTTCCTAAAAGGGAAGGTTGGAGACCAGGCAGTAGTTACCAAGATTATCTAGATCCGGGGAGGGCCCGTTAAGGAGGAACCCAGCAAGCCTCCCACAGTGAGGCACTGACCATCTCCTGGGTCCAGCCAGTCACGTTTCCACCTGTCTCTTGAGGAGCCAGGTGGGGCACGGATTCAGCCTACAAGGTGGCAGAGGACACCCTAGATAGCATCTGTCACCAGAGGCCATGGCCAGGAGCTGTGTCCTGTCTCATTCAGTCAGTCACTTGCATATGTACAGAGGGCAGTCCCCTGGCAAGAAGGCTGAGCATCTAGCCACACTGTAGATACACAACACCAGCACAAACAAAGCATAACCTGTGTGCCTAGGAATGCCTGTGGGCCCAGTCTTTTTTTGCCTTGTGGTATATGGATATTTTGTGACTGGTCACCCCCACCATGGCTACCATTTTGTGACAGTGCCAGTAATCTGTTTTCAAAATCCCAAATGTGCCTGTTGGTCTGTCCTCGAAGCAGCAGGCAGGAAGGTGCTGTGGCCTCTACTTCCTTGCCAGAGGAGCCCAGTACTGTGCAGTGCCAGATTTCTCAGGGGCCCTGATTCAGTTTGAGTCTGTCCCTCTTTTCGAGCTGTCTAAGGAGGCCCTGCTGAGGATTGTGCCCCTCCGGGAGAGGAGAGAGGCCAGCCCACAAGGGGCCTTCTCTGTGGCAGTCCCCTTTTTAGGGAATGGCCTCCCTCTGGAGGTCCTATACTTTTTAAGCTAGCGATGAATATTGGACAACCTTGACTATGTTTTAAATTTTAAGGCAATTTGATGAGATGGTTGGTTTTAATTGTACACTACTCTGAATCTTGGCAGAGAGCAGGTTAAATGACCTTCCTCCATCAACATGGAGGCTTGTGTGCTCAACAGCCTGATGAGGAAGAATAGAAGGGAGGTGCCTTCATTTCTCTCTTCATCCTGTTTTATCTGTGTCATGTGCCCCAGAGAGCAGACAGAGCATTTTTCTGTTATCTTATCTCTGGGAGCTTTTCAGCCTGAACCGCAGAGCGGAGTATAAATGCTTCAGAGAAATAAATTTGCTTTGTCCTGTTGGCACATTACCTTTTCTTTCTAGAATAGAGTTGTTCCTCTGCCAGCAGCTGGGGACCCCTCTGCAGATCTCTTTCAGGGCCCCTAACCCCCATGACCGGCAGCGTGTCTTTGGCTGGGCTCAGCCCTGATCCCATGGCACCTTGCCAGAACTGTTGGGATTTCACTGTGCAGTGACAGCTTTTCTTTGAAATAGATTGGGTGGGTTGGTTGGTTGGTTGGTTGGTTGGTTGATTAAAAAGTGAAGCTTGGTGCTGTTAATTCAGTTAACATCAGCTCTTGGGTAATCCAGTAATTGGATAATCGGGCAACTTTGCATCTGTTGTGCACATCCTGGCTTTTAGTTCACTTTGTGCTGTGGCTGCTTTTTATGTGCTCTTCCACGGGACAAGCTCTGAAGCCTCCACCTCTTTTCTCCTGCTAGAACGTTATTGATGGGGACCTCTGTGAGCAGTTCAACTCCATGGAGCCCAACAAACAGAAGAACGTGTCTGAAGAACTGGACCGGACTCCGCCAGAAGTCTCAAAGAAATTAGAGGACATCCGCACGCGCTATGCCTTCTGAGCTGAGCCACTGGAGGACTTGATTAGGACTCTTATTCCGAAGATGCGTTGACAGCTTTTCTGGCCTGCCCCCATTTTGTTTGCCCCCGTTTCTCTCCTGGAGCTCAGTCAGTCATCTTACAGCTTACCTTTTCTGTGCTGCTCCAGAAATCGAGCTCTCCAAGTGATGATGCCTCATAAGCTGTCAGAAGCATCTCCCATTTCAGCAGACCTGCCATGCTGCAGCCACCACCCAGAATCCCAGCCCAGTGGTTCCTTGGTAGCTTCACCATGAGCTGACTTGATTGATCTCATCCTCCAGTTCTGTTCTGAATAAGCAAGGGAAACCATGGGGAATGACAAGGGTTTGAAACTAGAGCTGGCTTTCCCCCTAACCGGTATTTTGGAAGTTGTGTCAGCTTGGCCGCCCGCCCTGTTTCTATTCTGTTTTTTAACTCTATATTGTAAATACAGTTTTGCACCAGATTAGTCTTTTGTCTGTTGGAGAGGTGGTAGCTACAACCTTAAAGAATAAAAAATATTATTGAGAGCTTGCTAGACAGTGTCCATGTGCCTAGATCTAAATTTTATTTTCCAGGAAAAGTATCTGTGAAAATAAAAACTGAAAAATAAAGACTTGTGGAGAGAAAAATGAATAGACCACTGGGACAGACCTGAGCTCCTGCAAGGAACTGCTGAAAGTCTTCTGCCAATAGCCCAGTTGCCACAGGAGAATTTGATGAGCAACGGGCAGGGCCTGTGTATTTGGAGGAGAAAGATTGCCCAGATCCCCACAAGGAAGTCCTCTGGAAGAGCTAGTTAGGGCAATCCATCCCTTCAACCTTTCTTTCATAGCTGAGAAAGATTCTGATGTCCAAATCCGTGCTTATTTGACTAGACATGACATACATCCTATCTTTAGACCTGAATTTCCCCTAATGCCAAATTTCTCCTGTGAAGTGTGTGGGCTTACTGTATTGGTCATCCTGGGAGCCTTCTTTTAAAAAGTAGGCAACAGAGTTATGCAGTGCTTTGGATTGAAAAATAAATGAAGTCAGGGTTACCTATTGCAACCCTACAGCAGCCACCTTTTCCTGCTGTAGTTGCAGATGAGTGCCACATGGTGCCCCTGTGAGCTCTGAAGCATCTTGTTGCTTTCAGACCTGAAGTTCTCCACAGCCTGGCCTCTCTCTCCCTTGGCAGTCAACCTGCGCCGTTAACAATGACAATATTTGTGAGAGTCATTTTCAAGGTAGATGCAGAGTCTAGACCAGTGTGCAAGATTTGCTTCCTTGCTGCTTCTCTTTCTATGCCAAGACACTCCCTGGCGATGCAGAAGTTCCATGTTTTTCTTGGATTAAACGTATTTCCCTTAAGTGGCTGCTGGGGCCTTGCTCCTGGTCAGTCCTCAGCCTTTCAGCAGCTGAAGAGCACCTCTACTCCAGAAGATTTGAATTGTTCTGCTTTTTTCAGGCCTGCTTTTATCTTTTGTCCAGTCAAGGCACTGCACATACTTAATGCTCCTGCCTCCTATTCTCCCGACAACAAGCCTATGAGGTGGGTTGGGCTGAGAAAGAGCGAGTGGGACTGGCCCAAGTTCTCAGCTGGCTTTCACGCCCAAGAGAGGACTAGAATGCGCAGCCTCCCCATCTCAGGCTCTCCAGTGTGCTTTGCAGAAAGAGGATGGGCCTTGAGTGTGTCCTTCATGTGTAAACTGGTGGCTTCAATTACGTTCTCTTGAACTACTTTCCACCTTAAAAAAAAAAAAACCTTTTAATAGCTTTGCCTCTATTCTTTTCTGAATTTTTTGAAAATTGAGATACTACAAATAGCTCCATGAGGCAGGAAGCATAAAAAACAATGGATACCTTGGTTTTGGAGTTGCAAATGCCCTTATAATGTCACAGAAAAAACATTGTGGGGGGTGCAACACTGGGTGTTAACTACTGTTTTGCTCCATTGAAGGATGTTCTTCATATCCAGTGTGTGTGTGTGTGTGTGTGTGTACACTTACAGAGATTCACAAGTATTCTAGACAATATTTTTTAAAAAAAATACCGCTTTAGAAGAAAGACTAAAGTGGGACAGTTTGATTTCAGAAGAGCTGCCCCAATTGTCCAACTGTTTACAGAAAGAAGTATAGAGAAAAGTGCCAGCTGAAGGCACTGACGTTTGTGGGCAAGCTGATCTTAGTTGCTGCTGGCAGCTCTTGTTCACCTATGGATCCACAGGAAAGGGAAGAGCCCCCACCCAAGTGCCAAGGAAGGCAACTGGTCCCGGGGGCTGCCTGGAAAGCTATGCACTGAAGGGACAGATCTTCCAGGGTCCAGTTCCTGCTTGACAAAGTGCGACCCCCAACAACTTAGCTTGGCAGCCCAGAGTGGAGCACTGCCCCCTCAGCATGGGGGGGCAGGGGGGAGGAAGGTTCACTGGCACCCACAGCCAAAGACTGGTTTTGCCTGGCAGGGATGTCCCCCCCTCCAACAGCTGTTTGAGAGGAAGGCACTTCTCTTCAGGCCATTGAAGTGCCTGGTTTTCACAATGTGTTGGAATCACAGAAATAGCTGGGAGAGAATGAAATGTGTGTAGCCCCAGGACCAAAATGGGCCTGAGGAACTGAAGGGTTACAATTTGATTTTCACATGCCTAGAGACCTTGGAGATGCCTACTGATCTATGGAAAGTGATGTATTTCTCGTTTCTCTCTCAAATCTAGAAAAACCGTTTTTTCTGATTCTAGATATAAACTCAGGATTACCTATATTTATATAAGTATCTGCTGTGCTGCAAAATGTTGTTTTTAGCCAAAGAAAGGAGAGAATAAGGAGAACTATTTGTATTAATTACAGTACAACTTTTATTAATACTGAAATCTTCACAGTGCATTTGTTATCTGTAGCAGTGGCTATTTTGAATGAAATAAAAAGGAATCAGATAAGTAAACTGGAAGAAAGGAAGGGTGTGGAGAGGCTAGGACTGCTAGAAGGAAAATAAATTATGGGAGTGGGAAGGAAGAACAAGTTAACAGCACCAGGACAGTTACATCGGCGGAAAGACATTTTAGAGGGTTTGTGTTTCTTACTGTACAAAACAAATGAAAAAAAGCAAAAAAGCAACAATCTCTCACACAGTCACCATTTGAGGTGTGTGGAAACCACAGGAGGGCCGGTATGTTAAACCAAAAGTTATCACAATAGCAGAAGAGTGAGAAGGCCTACAACGTGGCACACGCAGACGTTACTGGGTTGGGAGGAAAAGGCTATGTACAAGGGGAGGCCCTGCTCTTGGGACCGCTGGAGAGGTGGTGCTTTCTTCCTCAAAGGCCTTCGGAGGAATACTCTGCACGTAAGGTCTTCTGTGCGTCTGCTCCACAGCCCTGGGTATCTCCCACTTCCGAGGAGACCCCCAGCCTTTCTGAGCCACACTACACCACCTCTTTATCCCTTGGAAAGGGGGGACCTGGCCTTGTTGGACTTAATGCTCTCCAGATGTGTAAACTACAAGTCCCAACACCAGGTTGGGAAAATCAGTGTTCCTAAAACCTTCTACTTTACGTTTGATGGGGTGCTTCTTGAAATAAGTCCTTTTTCTAAATATACCTTTTTTCCCACTGGTAAACACACTGGAATCCTTATTGGCGTCAACAACGGCAGCAAACGTTCTGATTCAACTTTGCCTTCTCTGCTTCATCCCCTTGTGCTACGTGTGTGCTATAAGTTGGCTTTCAGATGCCACCTATGCCAGACATGCAAAGCCAGCATCAAATAGATCTGAAACCCCAAAAAATGGGCTTAGGAGAATAAGCAGGGCTGCACCCAGCAGCCAGATGTGCAGCAGTTCCCTTTTCTAGCCATGCACAAGGAAAGGCAACTCTTTCTAAAGCCTTCATGTCTCTATACCATTTACATTCCACTCTTTTCTCTTAACTTCATTCTCTCCAACATTTCAAGACTGTCTCCTCTTTCCCACCGTCACTTCCCTTTTGCCAACAGAGACTAATTTCTAAGTTTCAGGGGAGAAGGGAAGGTCATCATATGAGCACTAGGGAGAAGCAGATGCCTTCAAATCTCTCAAGATCCAGACACAGACCACAGATAGCTGTGACCCATGCCAACTGTGAATGACCTCTTTATGGCTATGCTTGGCATCACCTCTGCCAACATCCCCGTTAAAAATCTTTCTGCCAACTAGAAAAATAGGCAGATTCCGTATCTGCAAACAAAACTGCTCAGGAAAATGCAACGAGGCAAACCTCTTAGACGCAACATGATCTCGGGATGAAAACTGCAGTACTTTATCTTGGGAGACAGGAATGAGAAACGTGGGAAAGTGACCCAAGCAGGACTGAACCGAGGCACGGCCTCCGCTGAAGCCCTGCCCAGAGGGTCAGGCACCCCCTTGAGCAAGCAGAGACACCACAGCGTGCACTGGCAAGTGGCCCAGGCCAGGTGGTGCAGCTGGGCAAGCCTGGGCCACGGCCACCAGGTCCCTTGCAGCTTCCACCCTTGGCCGTCAAAACCGTCACTCTGCGGAATTGCTGGGCAGTCCAAGAGGAGAGCACGCTCAAGGAAGAGGAGTTATTTCCAGACATCACTGTCCAGTCCCCTCTTCAAGCCTGGCTTGCTGCTTAGTGTTTCTGCCCTTCTTTCCCCTCTCTGCTGCAGCTCCAGCAGTGCCTCTGAGTGACCCTGGCCACGTGGCTCACCCTAGTGCAAGAGGATTCTGACAGATTGCCACAGATGGGCTTGCGTGTCACACAAAACTGAAGCCAAGCCAACCGCAGAGGGCTCAGTGGAATGCGTGAGCCCGGCCAGCCCCAACATCCAAAGGCATCAGTCCAGCAGCCCTGCTGGACCAATCGCCGGTGGAGGTAATTCCGCAAGGGCTTTTGCTTCTTTCAAACCATTCCCAAGAAACATCAACCGAACGAGCCTCTCGGTCCCAGGTCCCAGCCCTTTTTGCTCCGCCCGCCAAGAGTTAAGACTGGTCTGGGAATACAGGAAGCTGCCATAGGCCAGCCACCCCAATGCTCCCTGAGACCAGCTTTCTTTACACCCCAGGTACAGGCAACCCAAAGCCTTTAGAGGGCTTGAAGTGTGAGTGTTGTGGTTCAAGATGCACCCCCTGCTCCCAGTTCAATTGCTACAAGAGCTGCCCCCACCCTGGCATTTCGGCCCTCACCAGAGAACCTTCTCCCTCCAGATGAATGCCCACAGAGCCCTCCTCCTGTCTGAGGAAGAACTAATCCCCGTGTGCTCGCTCTGCCTCATCCCCCCCCCCCCCCCCCCCCCCCCCCC